TGATGTAACATGGATGGACGAATATGATGATGGATGATGCTGATGTAACATGGATGGACGAATATGATGATGAAATGAAAGGCGAAATGGAATTATATATTATGCATGAAACGATAATGATGGCGTTGGTGATATTGAGGACTCCATTTGTCTAATGAAATTTTAACTTTATTGTACATGCGCAGTATCAAAGATTGAAATGAAAAACTATATTATTTTGATGATGATATAAGGTTAAGATGTAATATGATAATTGTTATCTTATGGTATGATGGACATGGTAAAGATGGAGATGTTAATGATGATGATAATGATGATGGTGATGATGATAATGATGATGGTGATGATGATAATGATGATGGTGGTGGTATTAATAATGATGATGATGATGGTAGTGATGATGATGATGATAATGATGATGATGATGATGATAATGATGATGATGGGCTGTTGATTATGCTAATGATAATTGAATAAAAACGTATTTGAAATTGGCAATGCAATAATGATGATGACTTTGATGATGATGATGAYAATGATTATGATAATGGYATATATGAAAAAAATACACCACTAAAGCGTTATTTTCTAAATAAACTAGCCAGCTTAGCAAAGCAAGGAATACACCAGTTTCACATTCAATGCATASCGCTGTTTTTGAAGACYACAGACTCATTTGCACAGGCTTAGCCTSGTTTATAAGTCAGCTATTCACWGATACCATTAAAAGTCCGTGGGATTTCAAAACATTGGTATTGTTCAAGCTACACATTTTTTACATTAAAGTTGACATTTGTAAATRATTTATTCTCAAGCGAGGTTAAGCCTGCGGAGATGAGTCTTCAGTCATAAATTTTTTGTTTTGCTTTCCAAAGTCGGCACTTTTCGCTACTAGTCTAGTGGGCTATAATGACTTATAGTCTAGTAGTGGTAGATCATCCAATAAAAGACAGCATTCATGATAGACCGCTAGTTGGATTTAACTAACTACTGATAGATGTTAAACTTCATATACCGCCACATTATGGCGTTCTTCATGTGGCGTTTTTTTGTTGTTGTTGTTTTTTGTTGTTTTTTTTTTCTCAAGAAAATGTGACAAGAACTTCATTTTTGAGAACTAGCTTGACTTGGTAGAGTTCAGCACAGTTAAACTCTACTCATTTTTATCTTACATATCCGATATTTCTTTACTTTATGCTCTCTTTGTTTTCTTCTTGATTTGCTTGTTGATTGTACGAGACTTCGGTTTTCTTGGCGCTGGAAATCGTGAAATTTTGATAATTTATAAAGTTAGATTTAACGCCTTTTGGAAGTCTTCGTAATTCAGAAAAACGCTGAATAAAATTACCAAACCAACTCTGCTCACATGCATGGGTTGCTATTTCCAGGAATCGTACCCAAGACCCCATAGGGGATAGGCAAGTGCACTTATGCATGTATCCTTGCCCAAGTCGACCTCTCTTGTGTCCCGCGGGAGTTTTGTTATTAGTCCTTACCTAAAGGTGGATTCCAGCGAACTTGGTTTCGCCTGCAACAGTGACAGCAGTGGCAACAAGGATGGCAGCAGTGACAACAGTGATGACAACAGCAGCAGTGATTGCAACATGGATGACAAATACAAGYACATGCTGGYTGTTCCTCATGTTTGGGACAACACACACCACCTGTGAATATCGAGGACAACGGACAAATTAGACTGAGGTCAAACCGTTTAAGCTTGACATGAGCTGTGTACATTGTGCAAACAAGGGATAATATATAAGGTGGTCTTCATTTATGTCATTAGGTTTGACTCGTGTGAAGTTCGACATATATGACCTTTGTCTTGGTCACTCCTTTATTTTATGATGAAAAGCTACAACTTTCGATTAAATAATTAAAAAGTCTAGCAGAAAAGACCTTTAAAGCTTGGGCGTAATGTTATTCTAGTTCAGACAATATATCATTCTAAAGTGGAGCATTTTTATTAGTGTTCTAACTGTCTTAACAAGTCATAATAACTGTATTACTTACATGGATGGTAGCAGACAGGAACTCGTACCCATTCCACATGCGGTTTGATGCCTTTCCAGCATACACATCCGCACCCACCTGAGATTCATAAAATAGATTAAAAAAAGATAAAAAAATACAAAACTTAAGGCGACTGGCTGCTATATTTGAGCCCACGATGTGCGCTTGCGCACACACACATAAAAAAAAACGCTAAAAATTTGTGATTCAAATACTGTGATATAACTTTTTAAAGGATTTTTTCAATATGCAGTCAATATGCACTTCGTCTTCGAATTTCTCCCAAAATTAGACCTTTTATTCGTCAATATTTTTCAAGCTGAGTCACTCAGCTTGAAAAGCAACAGAGTCATTCCTTTTGTAGACACAGAAATTTTGAAAAAATAACAATGACGTTTTGGTATTTTCTACTAATGCTAAACATATCAATAATATCATACCAATAAATGAAGTGCGCCGGGGCACATGACAAAATAAGACATGTATGTAGCATTTTGACAGTTGCAGTATTTTTCAGTTAACCTTCCCCCCTCCCACCTGCCCCCTCCCCTCTCCCCCCATACACACATATTAAAAGCTACTCTCCTAGGTCCCTGTCAGGTTTATYAAGTCATTTTAAAAGCAAGACTGGACATTCTCACCTTCTCGTCTTCCRAATCGTCCTCCCAATTGTCTCCCTCTCCCGCGCCAACGACGATGTCCATGTCGATGGTCATCAACAGAGTCATGATAGTCATCGTCAGCTGGATTATGATCATCGTCATCATCATCTCTTTCATCTCCATTATCAYCCCTATCCTCATCATCATCGCCACCATCATCATCATCATCATATCTGTGTCTTGAATGTTTCCTTCGTCCATAATGTGGACTAAGTTGCTGCATCGTCCCTTGGTTGTCCTCTATTTGTGGTGTGGGCAAGGATCTGCCGGTCGTAGGGACCAATGGAAGGTTGTTGATAACGGTTTGTGGTTGCTGAGATCTTATTGGTGATCGTGCTAGTGATGTTGAAACCATGTTTGATGTTGCACCACCTGGTAAGGCTAATGTCTGCGGGGCAGTTTGGACTACTTGCGCTGGTTGTGTGTCCTGCGTTTGGTCTGGGTTTTTTGGCTTCATGCCCAGTAATTTACCGAGTATTTGTTCGGCCGTAGGGACATCACCCTTTGTCGTACCTTGACCTATCAAAATATTGGCACATTCATGAATTAACATGACTGTACATGTGAACTTTTCCTAAAAGTAAAGGCAAATGGCTTATCTAGCATCAGTAGTGTTCCTTCAGCTAGTAGCTGGTCTTCCAAGGAGCTGACGTCGACGGTGCTCTGTCTTAAGAGTACTCAAAGCTGTAGCTTCAAGGATAAGTGAGAAGTCGAAACAGACGTGGAGATCCTTAGGATCGTACCATGGACCTCTAGATCCAAAGATCTGGCACAAACTAACTGGGTTCAGAATGCCTGCTCCTTATTAAAGGGGCCACACTCATAGAATTTCCAAKGGGTCGCTAAATAGAGGACGGGTTTCCACTTGCCATGGAGTCGGAAGCAGCTTATGTTATGACGAAGTGAAAATCAAAAATTCCGACTCCATAATAAATGAAAACCAGGTTTAATCAGTAGAGAGGTTTTCCATTCTATGCCTGCATCATGCAGTCCAGGTAAATTTAGTCAAACGATCTATGGCTAGTATGCAAGCCGTGCAACGAGGCAATGGCAATGCAATTAATAAACTGAAATTGTACCAATATCCAAGCTTACCATCAGCATTTTCTGAAGAATTATTAGCAGGTGAATTTCCAGGAACTACTAGTCCACTTTGCTCTCCAAGTATATGTCTGACTTCGTTCGAAGACAAACAAATAATCGTCAATATGTAGAGAAAATGACGTCCCATGACTATGAGAAATACAACTGCATCCTAAAGAATGTTCCCCAAGAAGCCGCTTCTCTTCTCCTGAAAAAATAATTCGTGTTATTTAATAGGTCTACACTATGAAGCGCAATGTTACACAAGCTAGGAGCAACAATTATTGGTAGAACTTTTCATAAACTATTTTTAACTCTGGAAAATGACTGAACTGAATTACGAATAAAGGAATTACAAGAATGAATTGAAACTAAAAAATATTTATTGCAATGGTGATAATGACGTAAATATAATTTCATACTTTCAAAAAAGATTGTGTTGGCATTTTATGATTTCCGATGAAAAAGCGTACCGTGTATAAAAGTAAAAGCATGAAAGGCAATGAAATATGCGKGGTTAAAGCAGAGTTAGAATAGAAAGTCGAATCAATGTTTCAGTGTGATTGTACTGCATACCCACAGTATAATATATATGTAAGACTGGGATCTATAGGCAATGAAAAAATGCCTGTCACAGACTGATTTAGCTAAAAAAAAAAAAAATGTCTTTCTTTTTTTCTTTCAAGAAAACGTTTAATAAGCTAAAAAGCAAAATACTTTGTAGACTTTACTCACCGATTTTTTTCTCCCTCGACGTTCCAGATAAATTATGTTTTCCTTGTAAAAATCCCTTTCTTTTCCCCTTCAAACCGTTCCTCCCCCTAACGTAGAATACACGCAAGTATTTCCCTTTCGATTTGCTAACCAAATGTTTGACTTTCAGGATTCCTTATCACTTACCTAAACTTACCTATGTCGTAAATTATTCACAAGAAAAGAAGACCTTGTTCAGCTTTCCTAAGAAAARAAAAAAAAAAAAACCCACATATATCTAGCAAAGGGTGATGCTTAAACGATAGGAAGAAATCCGTTTGTTCGGTCAGAGTATTGATAAAAATGTCAATTTTAAAGCTGTTGATTGATTTTCCTTTCACTTTTTCGGTTGTTAGGTTTGTTTGGCGTCGGGTTTTCACTTGTTTGACAGACAGCTCATYGTATGTTCACCCACTTCATCTACCAGTTACTGAGGTCACCCCTTTGGCTGATCTTGACTCTTCAGTTAAGCTTCATGTGTTTCACAAGAGGATTATTAACCGAACTATCAGGAAAGAATGTTCGGTCATTCATGACTTCATAGGCTAAAAGGGGGTTCATTTAGCTAACCAGCAAACGGAGCAAGCCTTGACAACAGTCATGTATTTGTAGCTAAATACAAGTGGAGACAGAATAAAAGAGGGTTCATTAGAAAGGTGTAATCCTGACGTTGTACACGAGAAAGCAGGGTTTTGCATCTTTTTGCTGCAARGTCAAAATGTTAACCTCAACTATTTATAATAAAACATCTTTAACATTTTTCTTGCTCGGGACTTCAAAACCTCATTTATCCTAGAAGCAGTCTTTATAAACCAAATATTGAAAACGAAATCTAAAGTAATGTGACATGTATTTTTTTTTTAGGCCTAATTTTGGTGATGTCCTTAAAGGCCACCTTCCGGCGCTCTTTTGTCCAATGAATTCTTTTTCTTTAAAGTATAGTACACTGATAAAGTAAGTTGCCTTTGCCCCTCTCGTACCCCTTCCCTTACTCTTCGTGTCTAGTAATAACACTATTGTAAAAGAAAAACATTGCTAATTCCTATCCATTTTTACCAACATTTCCATTGCATTTATTTGATGTTTATAATGATTCAGTCCTTCACTGCCTTTGAACATTTTTAGGACTAGCCAAGGGATAAAGAGGTCAACAAGGGCATCAGTTTTAGTTCCCTGTTTATTCGAAATGTTAGTTTCAACGAGTATCTGCCATGAACGGGTTGTGGTGTAGCCTCTTGTAGACCAATGTTTTGTCATCAATTGATGGTTAAGATGAAGTCTATAAGAGCAAATGCACTTCTTTGAAGAACATGGCGTAAGTTTGACTTAATGGCAAAGTGTCAACCAAACAATCAAATCACGAGAAAATTTGATAAAAAACGATATCCTCGTAAACGTTCTTGCGCTACATTAGTCTGYTTGAGATCAGCCTTAGTTTGGACAGTGCGGTATTATTAGATGTGTTGATATACTAAAAATACTTATATTTAAATAAAATACTTTAGAAGAGAAGGAATCTTTAGCTCAAACATTTAGGCAAGTCTGCTAGTGACATTTTTATGGGTTTGTAATGATAAAGTGCTCTTGTCGATCGTCCTTTGATTCCTAACCCTGAAACACTACTCTTCTCTCTCTGGATTTATTGTCTCCTCTACTCAAGCAAACGAAAATAAAGCTTGAGAAGTGGGATGAGGAAGTGGTTTGTGAGTAGTAGGAMATCATAATGGCATTTTTTCCTGAATCGTGTGAAGTGCTATTTGCATTATGTGCCAAGAGAAAAGGATTTTCTCTCGTATGTACCCTTTACTGTGAACGAGTGCACTCTGGTGGTCGTTCTTCTATAAGAAAGTACTCCTAGTAGTAGGGTAACCCCTCGATCTCTTAGGAAATAAGTGAATTAGCAAAATCGTTAACATGCTTTTATATTAGTTCCTTGGTATCAGCTAGACATCTGCTCGYTTAACGGAAGCTAGAGAAACAAAAAACATTGGGCTGAGACAATTTTGGGTCCAGATACATCTGCTTTGCAGTTTTCAAGCTTTCCAGTCCAGCTTTACGTTTTTTTATCCAGATTCACTCTCAAAAACTGCAAAACTCCTGGCTGTACGGGGGCGTAGCCTGAATTTTGCCTTGGGCGGCTGGGGAGGGGGAGGGGGAGGAGGGGAAGGGGGAGGGGGATTAAGCAAAGGGGAGGAGGGGAAGGGGGAGGGGGATTAAGCAAAGAGTGGCGTTAACGAAATTAAGAATTATCAACCATAAACTTGAAGTAGAAATAGGGTGGTATCGAAGACCTTACCTGATTTATGAAGATAGAAAAAAATATCAATATAAGTATAATAGGCTTAATAACATGAACACTGGTGACTGTTTCCTATTTCTGATCAACCCCCGAACAAGTGTTCCTACAAAAAAACTGTGTCAGCATGAATGAAGATTAGTTTATTTAATTTATTTGGATCACCACCTATGTACTTTTTATAGTATAAAGTGCCAAATRAATAATATTGTATTGTATACTGGAATCTATGCAGTACTACACTTTCCCATCTGTCATTTTTACAAAAAAATTGGGTTCCTCTTACTGGTACTTATGGACTTATGGACTGCTCTCAAAGTTGACTTCGATCTATTAATAGTAACTCTGGCCACAATTGGGGGCATATTTTTTAAAGTTCCCGCGAAATGAAGGTTG